AGTCCAAGACTGGGAGCTCCTTGTCTTGGGTAGCTTGGGCATCAGAGGGGGCCGGTGGCAGGGACACAGGGCAGGCACTGGATGGTCCAGCCTGGAGATGCCTGGCAGCAGGAGATGCTCCAGAAAAACACCAGCTTTGCTACAACTCCCCAGGTCAAGGCACTGGAAGCTCATGTAGTATTTATTTGGAAATCAACTTAATTGGCTTGATTGGTGTTGATTTCTGCTGGCAGCAATTAGTTTTTGCAGAAGCGAATGCCCAACCAAATTGTAGCTGCATCCCCCGCTCATTTGCTTTTAACCCTCCATATTAATTGTCCCTCTTCTCCCAGCTGTTGAGTGTCTGGGTGCTGGCTGAGGCTGAGGATTGCCTGGATTTGTGCTGAGAAAAACAGCCCCAGGGTGGAAAACTGGAGGGGAAGGGGAGGAGTGGGCTTTTACTTCCCTAAAGGAAAGATGAAAGAAAGCATTGAAAGCTGGTAATCCTGGCTGCCTCTCCAAGGGATGCTCCTGCAGGATGCGTCTGACTCACAAGGTATGAAGTGTTGGGGGATTAGGGACCAGCCAGGGAAACTGGGGGGGTTCCTGCACCCCTGGTTTGGGTGCTGTTGTTTGCTGAGGCCACCTTGCATGAGCAAAAACCATCTGCATTTCCCCGGGGGTGGTCGTGTCCCAGTGCAGGAGCCCTGGCTGCATTCACCCCGTGAGACACGGGGATGGGAATACCCATGTAAAAATGAATGGGTGGGAAGAATTGCACAAAGCTGATACTGCTTTAAACTGGTGCACAGAGGAGATGCTTCACTGGTGCTGCCAGCTGCCTGCCCTGATGGTTGCGCCGTGGGATGCCACAGCCACCGGGTAGCCCCTTCCCAGGGCTCTGCTGCACATCAGACCCTTGAACATCATTCGTAGGGTTGAGGTTATGGGATAACCACAGATGGGACCTGAACCCCGCCGGGGCACAAGGAGGGGGGGCTGGTGTAGCTCCCCAGCTGCCCCAGGACACGGTAGCCTGTGACCCTCTGCCCGCCCGGCGTTGGGGTCCTGGCACCCCTGGGAATTCCGTCAGGCGTGATGGCAGTTTGGGAAGGAGATGGGTTTGTGCAGGCAGGAGCTCGGCTGCCTCCCACACGCGACTGGAGCAGCATGGGCAGGGAGCAGGTCCTGGGGGCCCCTGGGCTCAGGGCGGCCGTTGCCGCTACAGCAGAGGCTGAATTCGGGGGTCTGTGCGACCCCTCGAGCAGCTTCATCCCCTCTCGGCTCCGGCTGCTTGTACGGAACCAGCACCGGGGCAAGGAGGGGTGCTGGGGATGGGCGGGGGATGGGCTGGGGTGTGCTGGGAATGGGCTGGGGATTCCTTGGATGGGAGCAAGATGCCAGGCTGGAACAGGGAGAATATCTCTGCTGGAGCCAGACACGTTTCCCAGCATCGGTTGCATCCAAACTGGTTCCTCTTGACGCTCTTAATGGATTTCTGTAGGGTTGCGGTTTCGGAAGCCCCTTTGTGGTTTGGGCTCCAAAGACCCGCGTGGTCTGAACGAAGCGCTTGAGAGCAACCCAAGAGCTGGGGCTCCTGAACCCCAGGGGCTTCCAGCGAGTGGTTTTCCCTGGGGATGGGAGGCCAAGGCGAGAGGGCTCGGGGGAGGCACGGGGACCCACAGCCCCCTCGAGTGGGACGCTGTTTGGAGCAGGAGGGAGCACGATATGAGGAGAGAGAAGAAAGCACAAACCAGAAAGGTTTGTTGACAAGGAGGGGCTGAGCGGAGTTGCTCAGGGCTGAGCCCGCTGAAGATGCTTTGCCGAAGTCCACGGAGCGATGCTGCCGTCCCGTCCCCAGAAAAGGCAGCAGGGTATTCCTCCATCCCCGCTGGGTGCCCTGGGGAAATCCCTGGGTACCAGGGAGGTGGCACTGGGGCACCGGGATCTCCTTCAGCATCTGAGTGCCGGCAAGGGCTCAGCACCCAAAAAATACCCCTCAGGCAGGACGGAGCCTGGGGCGTGCAGGAGAGCCTCCATTGCCCCGGCCGCTCCCTGGCAGCGCGTGTGTTTTGCCGCCAAGCATCGCTTGCTGCAGGTTCGCAGGATGGCTCATAAAACCATATAAGCTCCCGTAAAACCGTATTAACTTTAGGCCGAGACTTCAGAAACATAATGGATATAATGGGATTTTTCCCAGTGGCATTAGCAGCACGGAGCTATAATGCAATGCAATGTCAGTGGTGTAGAATTTTTTAGAATATTTTGTAGTCTTTTCACGTAAAATGGCCATGCAGAGCAGCTTGGGCTGGGCTTTCTGTGGGCTGGGAGGCACTGCTCAGTTCTCGCACTCCTGGATGTGATTTGCAGGTTGTGGAGTGCTGCTGGTGGGAGCAAGTACAGAGGCAAGGGGAATTATTTGTATTTTTTTGGTGCATTCTGGAAAATTAATAAGGAGCTTTAGGTGGGGTGGCAGGACATCAGCAGAGCCACCTTGTCAGCAGGACCGTGCATATGTAGAGCAGCAGGATCCGTCCCGCTCGCAGCTGCTAAGCCGCGTTGGATGTTGCTGCGGCCGGGTTGCTGCCCCGGTACCTCCGCGGGGCCGGGCTCTGCCGTGGGAGCTCTGTGCCGTGGCTGCTGGTGCCATCACCCGTAGGGTCCGGCTGCCCCGAGGCAGGAGACTTGTCCCCGGCTTTGGCTTTGCGAAAACACCCTGTGGTGGCTTCTGGGGCCACGTTTTACCCCATTCTGCAAGACAAGCACGGGAGCAGGGTGATGCCCAGCTCCGGGTGCCGGCGCTTGGTGCTGGCAGGACGTGGTACCCGGCTCCCACCGCCGCGAGTGACACCGGTCCAGCGCAGCCCTGCCACATGCCCATGCCACTGCCGGTGGCTGCAGCGTGTCCTTGAGGCCACGCAGAGACCCCCATCCCCATCGCAAGCCAGAGAGGAGGAGAAAGCATCCCAGCTCCTGCAGATGCCGAAACCAGGCAGGGAAACCCGTGCTGCCACGGCGTGCCCATCGCTCCGCTGCGTCCTGGGCAGCTGTGTCACAGGACTCCAACAGCCTCTTTGCTTATTCCTCTCCATAAAACGCTGCAGCCTTTTTTTCCCGCCGCTTTTTAAAGCCAAATTAATCTCTGGCAGGCTCCCCAACCTGCTTAAGCATCCCGGGATGTGGCAGGGCTGGCGCGGGTGTCTGTGCCGGGGCTGTGGCTGGGGGATGCTCTCTGTTAGAGTTGCTGAGGTTTCTCATGCTGAGGATATGCTTAAAAGCAGAACAAGGCCAGATTTTTGTTATCCTGTTTGAAACATCATTTTCTGCTTCCCGAATGCACGGTGGAGCGTAGCACGTGTTGGTTTGCAGCTGCTGGGAGGGAGACCTGCTGGCGCGGGACCGTGGGGTCTGCAAAACCCATCCATCAGCCCGGCTGGAAGAGGAGAAAACGCACTAAAAACATCACTTTTGGGGGCACGTTTTCCCAATGGTGCAAGGACAGGAGGGACTTCTTTCTCCCCTGGCATTTTTTTTTAAAGTTTGGAAATGATTTTTGGGGTGCACAACGCTCGCCTGCGTCCCTGCCACCTCCTTCTCCTTCGGGATGCTAAATACATCCTGCGCCGGGGTCGGGAAGCAGGGCTGGCCGTTGTGTCGGTGCCGGTGGATATTTGCTGCTTTCTTCCCCGTTTGTGCTAATTCTGCGGCGTTTCCAACCCTGTCCATAAACGATAGCAACGGTGATTTGCAGAAGAGGAGGAGAACCTGAGCAGCCCTTGCTCCCGGGTGGCCAGCGCATCGCTTCCGTGTCGTGTAGAAGATATTATAAGGCTTTCATTTAAATCCTTTTTTCTTTAAATTAAAATAAATAGGGTTTTTTTCTTTCATTTTTAAAACCAACTTAAATCAGACACTGGGACAACTTTCATACACAAACCTGATTTAATGCAGTTAATTTACGCTTCTTAAAAGCCTTTGGATGTGGTGTATTTGCGGATGAGCCCATAGACCAAGCCCTGCCCTGGCTGGCCGGGCTCGCTCTTTGAACCTTGCTCTGCCGATGCTTATTCCTTATTTCCACTTCTTCAGTGCTTCTCTCAGTCTCTCAAAGCTGAGAAACCAGCTTGGGTAGCAGAAAGCAACCAGGGCTCAGGCAATAAAGGTATTTTTTGAAGAAGAGCACCGAGCTTTTGTTGTTTGTTAATGAACCTTTAGGGCCTAATTGGCTAAATCACAGCTCTGCCTGAGCACATCTTGACGGAGGTCATTTTTCAAAGAGAGATGATGCACTAAAGTTGTAAAAAAAGCCCCGAAGAAAATTATAAATGATCCAGAGCGTGATGGTTTAACTAAGCCTGAGCAGATCGGGTGAGGAGCGGCCGCAGGGGCTTGGCGGGCAGGGATGCTACGGGTCCGTGCGTGGCCGAGGAGGGTCTTGCAGCAGGTTTGTGTCTCCTGCATCCCCGGTGCTCCTTGCTGGCAAAGACAGCGATGACACAAGCTCTGGAGCGGGAAATCCGGCTCCGACGAGCAGCGGGGAGGGTTACAGCGAAGCCCCGGGCAGCAGCTGCCACCGCGGATTCAGTCGTGAAGAGGCTCAGTCGTGCGGACGGGTTGTGTCCGTGAAATCCACGGAGCTGAGGAGGTGCCAGAGCCCGGCACGGCCCAGGAGCTGCTTTCATGCATAGATACCCCGCCTCCCTGTGCAGCACTGGCCACATCCTCCTGGGAATTTAACATCCCTGTTTTGCTGGGGATAGTAGAAAAATAAGGGGGAGATCAGGGGTGGACCCTAAAGTGGCCTGGGATGTGGCACACTTGCAGTGAGCCGTGAAGGTCTCCATCCTCTGCTTATTTAGGAGGTGAGGTGATGGCTGGTTGGATCAGAGAGCCTCGAAGCACCGGCTGCATCCCGATGGAAAAGCACATTCAGCTGTGCCTGGTACCGCGGTGTGCAGCCCCGGCGCTGCCGTGTGTGCCGGACCCTGCGCCGACGCTTTATGTTCTTTCTTGTCTTGCAGGGCTGAGAAGACGGAGGTTTTGAGCGAAGATCTCCTGCAGGTGAGGTCCTCTGCAGCTGGTCCAACCCATGCCCGGGGTGCCTGTGGGTGTCTGGGCAACCCACCCGTGGGTGCTGGAAGTGGCAGCAGCTCCGTGCCAGTCGGTGCCATGGTGTCCCGTGGCAGTGAGATGGGCTGGGAGGAGGAGGAGGGGGGTGGGAGCCTGGGAAGCGGCATTGTCTCCCTCCCACGCGCCCTCCCAGCCCTTTCCCAGCCTGGTTTTCAGGTCAGCTGGAATCGGATCCAGTCTTGTCTGTGCCAGGATGGCAACCTGATAGGGCCGGCCGGATTGCGGGCACCCACGTCTCCCATCTCTGCTGCAAAGCCCTCCCTGGGGACGGGGCATGTGGCAGCAGGGGACGGTCCCCAAAGCTGATGGGTCGGGCGACTTCAGGAAAACAGCCCGAGCCAAAAACCTCCCGCGGTGCCTTGGAGCATCGGCTGTGGTGCTCGGGTCACGGTCTGTCGGGGACGTCTCGTCCTGGTGCTTTTCGCTCCAGGAGCAGGGCTTCCTGCACGCCCCGGGGAGGGAGGCGGCTGAGAAATTGCCAGCAAAGGGACTTGAATTCCCAAATCCATCACTGAATTCCTGAGGTTTCTAACTACATGTTCTCTAAATCACCACTCATAACTTGGGCACCGACGAGCAAAACAGCTGCCCAGCCGTCGGTGAGGGTGCTCCCCGCTCCTCCTCCTCCCTCATGGTGCAGGCATCCCCTGGCGTCAGCCGGGCCGGCTGCTGTTGGGTCCGCTTCAAAACCTGGTTTAGGGGGAAGCTGATGTATTTGTGCCTTCCAGCTTGGGATTTGGTCTGTGCCGTTGCTGTCAGGTCGCGGATTCTGCAGAAGCAGCCAGGGAACCGGTGTGCAAGGATGCCGGTGGCGGGAGGCAGTGGCCTGCAGGTGACAGTGACTGCAGGGTGACCTTTAGCTCTTTCTGGCCGCCGTGTCCTGCCTATGTGTGCCCTCGCTTGGACCTAGCGATGCTGCTCCCTGCACACATCGGGCTTTAGCAAGAGCCGTGTCCTAGCCAGAAACGTGAGCAGGGTTTGAGTGAGCCATCGCTGAAGGTGAAACCGTGCTGGAAGAGGGTGAAATGAAGCTCTGGGTGCAAATGTCCCAGCCGCCCGCATCGGTTAATCCCTCCCACGGCCTCTTGCTGCTTTACCGGGGATTTAGCAGCCGTTTCCATCGGGACCAGCCCAGCCTGTGCGGGGGGAGCGAGGTTGGTCTCTGGTTCCACCAGCACTGGTGAGGAATCACTGGTGGAAGCGGCCGGGTGGGCTCCCGGGGCGTTGGTGGGTTGGTTTGCTGGTCGGCAGTGCCGTCCTCGTGGTATGCACCCCTGCGAGTCCATCTCCAGCCCTGGGGATTTGGGTTTGTCTCCTTTCTTCACCAGTGCTGGTGGCAGGGATGGGCAGGGTGCGGCGGTGACGTGCCCCGCTGTCCCCAGGGGTGGGCAGCCCCAGTAGGACAGAGGGGAGCTGAGTGTTCCCTACCACCAGCAGCCAGAGGGAACGTCGATAATGAACCTTTTTATTTTTTATTTTTAATTTTTAATTTTTTGGGCATTTTTCCTTGCAAGCTCTGAGGTCTCCATGACCCCTTGGCACTGAGAGCCAGACCCTGCTCTTACAGCCGTCCGGTGACATCCCGGCGCTAGCCGGCATCTGCGCCGGCACCGGCGAGGGCAGGCTTGGCTTCGGCAACGGGGGTTTTTGCATCTTTTGGAGGGGTGGATAATTCGGCCGGGAGGGTGGCGGGTGCTGCCTTGTCCGGGTGTCTCCTGAAGAGTCAGCCACGTTCACGGGGGGTCTGTCTCCAGGGGTGGCGGGGAACCCAAACCCTTCTGGGCCTTCTAACGGCCTCCGGTCCGGCTCCTCCAGGTGGGTGTGCGCCCGTGTCTGTGCCCTTCTGAACATCACACCCTTTCCTTTCAGCATATAGATGGACACGTATATATCTATATAGATAAAAAAAATATATATTATACATCCTCTGCCGTCCCTGCATGGCTCCCTCCTGCCTCGAGGACTCGCACGCTGGAGAAGCTCAGGACTTCTCCCGCTTCCCCCAGGCAGGGAGCATTTCTTTTTTTTCCAGAATATTTCTCAAGATTTTGAGCTTTAGGGAATATTTTTTTTTTCCAGATTGTTTCCCAAGATTTTGAGATTCCCATGTTTTCCCTGAGTGTCTCAGCTATGTATTTCAGCAGATGTTTGCTTACGTTGAATGGCTCATCTTGCTGAGTTTTGGGATGAAATTCTTAATTTAATCGATGCAGGGGCGAATAAGGCAATTTGCAGTGCTGGGTTGGAGCTGCGGCCGGTTTGGTTTGTGGCAGGGCTCGGCAGGGGACAGACACCTCGCCTGGGGATGCAAGGGCCATGGAGGCTGCTCGGGATCCGGCCCTCAGCCTTGCTGGGGCGTTAAGATGGGGCAGCCTGGTGAAACCTTCTCCTGCTTAACGCATCCCTGCCCTGGGAAGGGGCTGGGCTCCGGGGCTGTCGCATCCAACACAGCAGCAATTAAAATTGCTTTAAATGAAAAGCAAGAAGTCTCTTATGTCCCTGTGCGGTGGGTGCGGGACCAGGCGGGATACCCCGGTGATGGGCATGGCTGCATCCGCAGGTGGAGAAGCGCCTGGAGCTGGTGAAGCAGGTCTCCCACAGCACCCACAAGAAGCTGACGGCATGTCTGCAGGGCCAGCTAAGGGGGGTCCAGGTCTCCCCTGGTGCTCTGCCGGGGTGCCGCCGCCGGGAATTGCTGCGGTTCCTTATCTGTGATGCCAGATAATGGGGGGGTTTCACAGCGGTGTCGGAGGGGCTGGGATGCTGGTGTGATCTCGGTAGCCCAGGGGTGTGCTTTATTCTTCTTGTGATGAGCTGGGGTCCTTTAGTCATGCAGTATACAATGTAAACGATATATATTTTAAGAAAGTTTGTATGATTTCAGACTACAATTGGTACAATAGTTAGGGAATGAGGTTTTTCCTAACACCCAGGGTGCCCGCAGTCCCCGGGCTGCTGCCCTCCCTCCAGCCCTCTGCCAAGGACGGGCTGCCCTGCGCTGCTGCCGAGCCCCCAGGGGCTTTGGGTGGCCCTTGCCCACCCCCGTGGGCACAGGACCCATCGCTCCCCGCCATGCCCGCCGTGCCCAGCCCTGCCGGTGCCCTTGCAGGAAGATGCTGCGGCTGTGCGGGGAGGCGGAGGACAAGCTGGCTCAGGAGCTCATCCACTTCGAGCTGCAGGTGGAGAGGGACGTCATCGAGCCCCTCTTCGTGCTGGCCGAGGTGAGCGGCGGGCGGGGGGGTCCTCGGGTCGGGGTGTCACCGTGCCGGGGACTCGCATCTGAAACAAGCCTGGGGGAAAGCAGGGTTTCGGTGCTTCGGTGGTGTATTTGGGGCAGTGGTCCCTGTCGGGCCCCTTCGCCTGCCCTCGCTGCCCTTGCTCCTTTCTGCCTCTCCTGAGGGCAGAGGCATTAACACTCTTATTTCTGACCTGGTTTTCCAAGCTCCAGACACATACCATTGTTGTTTGGGATTTTTTTTTTCCTCCTTTTCCCCTCTGCTGCCAACTTTGTTTTTCTATTTTACCCAACAATTTTTTCCCCTGCTTTTCCATCTCACAAAATGTCTCGGGTTTGGTTCCGATTTTATCTTCCCTGGCAGAAACAGCAAGAGCTTTGTGGCACTGCTGGTGTTACCAGGACAGGCGAGCAGAGCCAGACCACAGCTTTATTTTGCCAAATCCTTTGGCAAACTGTGCCCATGCATGGGAGGCTTTGCGTTGCCATTCCCAAAAGCCCTTTTCTTGCCTTCATCCAGCTCCCCATTGCAAGAGGCTTTGATCCCGCAGGGATGCTCCTCTCCGGGATGCAGGTTCTGCGGTCGGAGGTGTCGGGGGGTGGCACAGCCCGGGTGGGGACGCGGAGGAGGGACAAGCCCTGCCATCTCCCTCACGGTGTTTAACTAAGGGGCTGCATCCTTATCCGCCGGGCTTGCACCAGCCCAAACTCCCAGCGTCGCAGTCAGGTATGACCTACCCCGCACCTCTCCCCGGGGATGTTTATCTCCTCCCGTTCCTGTGTGTTGCTGCAGGTGGAAATCCCGAATATCCAAAAGCAGAGGAAGCACTTGGCGAAGCTCGTGCTGGACATGGACTCCTCCAGGACACGGTGGGCAGCAGCTTCAAAGCTGCTTTATAAAAATTCCCAAGCAATGGGTAGTGCCAGGGAGGGCACGTCCCAGAGCCCTGGTACCGCAGCTCCCTTGGGACAATAAATCTCAGCCGTGTCACCGTGTGCCTTGAAGTCAAGCTCTGCAAGGAGCCAAGATTTCTGCTCTTGTCTGCAGAATCCGTAGACCCCTTTTCCTTGCATGCCCTCTGCAGAAAAGAGTATTTTTTTTCTGACACAAATCTTTATTTTTTTCCTCTTTTCCCTATCTTGGTGAGTTCTTATGGAATCATAGGATCGTTTGGGTTGGAAAAGACCTTTAAGATCATCGAGTCCAACTGCTAACCCAGCACTGCCCAGCCCACCACTAAACCATGTCCCGAAGCACCACATCTACACGGCTTTTAAATCCCCCCAGCGATGGGGACTCAGCCCCTGCCCTGGGCAGCCTGGGCCAGGGCCTGACAGCCCTTTCAGGGAAGAAATTTTTCCTAATATCCAACATAAACCTGCCCTGGTGCAGCTTGAGGCCGTTTCCTCTCGTCCTATCAATAGAATCATAGAATCGTTTAGGTTGGAAAAGACCTTTAAGATCACCAATTCTTAGATGATGGCAAAGAGCCGGGTGCTCCTGCCGCTGTAGAGTAGCTCTGGGGTGGAGCTGGGATGACCCTTGGGACCATCCTGTGTCCCAGATGCTGTGGTGGGACCCGGCAGGCTGTGCTTTGGGTTTTGCCTGGGCTGTTGAGTTGGCCAAGGCCCACACATCGCGGTGTGCCCTGGGAAGAGGTTTGGGAGGTGTCCGTAGTCCCCAACGTCATGTCCAGGCTCTCCCATCGCCTTCCTCTCTCTTCCCGCCTGGATGAGGCTCATTCTCCTCCGGAT